GTTAGAAAGAAAAAAAATCTAAATAATGATATTAGATTCATATTTCTAGACTACTACTCTCGTTAGTCTTCTTTGACCTAGTTCTCTTGCTATTTGTTTAAAGACACTAATGAGAATTTGAAATGAGACAGAGGGTTTTATCCATAATAAACTAACCTATTTTCAGAGCATATCTGTAAAAAGCAAACTGTCCTTATTGCAGACTAAAAAAAAATATGGAATGAACTATAAATTGCTCAGTTTGTCTCCTCAAGCCAAATGTATTTTCTGTCACCTTCAGTGTTTTGACTTTTTAATGAAAAAAATAAAACAGAGAGAATAATATGCTAAAAAGATCAAAGCTCAGAACCCTAATACAGTTAACAGGCTCCGTTTTTGGAATTGTATTCATTATTGGTATCAGAGTAACAAATCTATTGAAGTGAATGGAGATGGCCTATGGGAATTAAAAGAATATTTACTCTTTAAGACTTTCATAAAAGAGCAATAATGAAAAATATGGGAAAATTCTTACAGTGACACATTAATAGAATTCTTTCTTTTTTTTTTTTAATTTTTATTTTAATCAAATAGACCTGTAAGAATAATAAAGTTGTCACTGGAAAAGCAAAAACTTCATAGAGCTCACTATTTTTGATATTATGGCTTTGGATATTAGATTTGAATACAGAAAAGAAATGTAATGTTCACTGTATGAAAGGTATTTTATCAGACAGATTCTGGGGGAAATGGATGAAGCGTAACTACTGCATGTTTCCTGTCAGTTAACAAAAATGCTTCAGTGATAATTGTGGTTTTTATATTCCTACCACAAAATTCCCTGAGTTAATGTGGTTTTCATGTGTGCATTTCTACTTTTTACTTAAGTTCTAGTTCTGTTCTCACTTTCTACCTCATAAACTGGGGGAAAAAGTCTAGGTTATGTTTTTTATTTCCTGAAGGAAGTCTCATCAGATTTGAGAAATATTTGTAGCTAAATCATTCTAGGTTCATGATTAATTTGGTATATTGCTCTTGCTTTCCTCTGTCAAGACCAGAGCACAGATGCAACACAGCAAAGCAACCCTCAGTGAAATCAGGGAATGCTTTGGGTTGGAAGGGACCTTTAATGGCCATCTGTCCAACTTCCCTACAATGAGAAGGAACATCTTCAACTAGACCTGGTTGCTCAGAGCCCAGCCCAATCTGACCTTGAATGTGTCCAGGGATGAGGCATCCAAAACCTCTCGGGGCAACCAATGCCAGTGTTTTACCACCCCCATCACAAAAAATTCCTTTTTCATGTCCAATTTAAATTTACCCTTTTTTAATTTAAAACCCTCACTCCTTGTCCTGTTACAACAGGCCCTGCTGAAAAATCTGCCCTATTTTTCATATGGGCCCCTGTAAAGTACTGAAAGGTCACAATAAGGTTTCCCTGAAGCTTTGTCCCTGAACATCTCCAGTCTGAACCCCAGTTCTCTCAGTTTGTCTTCACAGGAGAGGCATTCCAGCCCTCTGATCATTTTTGAGTCCCACCTCTGGATGTGCTCCAGCCAATTCCTGTCTTTGTGCTACAGACCCCAGAGCTGGACACAGTACTCCGGGTGGGATTTCACCAGAGTGAAGTAGAGCAGCAGAATCATCTCAAATTCATTCCCAAATAGAAATGTTTACTTCTTCTCTGTGTCTTTGCTGCCTCTGTCATGATGGGCCCTTTCTGTACAGTTGATGCTTATGCATCTGAGCCTGTTTGCCAGCTCCTGAGAAAAATGTGTTGGTGTTGCAAACAACAGCTGAATATTGGCCTGTTATTTAAGAACAAATCCAGACCCAGAGATGTTTTAATTTTATGCATGGTAAAAAGACTTAATGAGATAGGTGAAATAATTTTAAATACATTTTAACCATTACATTTCTGTTAAATGAAGGACAGTAATAAATCTTTGCAGAATGATTTACCTGCTTTGAGAAAATAAGAAAATTTAAAGGTTATTTACTTGATTTTCAACAGTGAAAAGTTCTCTGTTTGCATTAGCTGCTTCAAAAAAAGTGTGGAGTGCCAGTTGGTTTTTAATGAGGCATAGTAAAAAGACAAAAGGGAAGGGCATGGAGGATAAAGTCTCTGAACTTATAAATGTGTTCTCTTTCACTGGTCTGGAACACCAGAGGTCTTGAACCTGAGCATCTAATTTTTTAACAGTTAGACAGTTTTGTAAATCTTCCCTGATTTACAAGTTGTTTGTTTGTTTTGTTTTTCTAGTTTAACTTCATTAGCTACCAGAATTTAATTTACAAGTGGGAGTCAGGGATTTTGAAAGAGTAGATCTCTGTACTTTAAATGTCAGTTTAGCTTGTAATTATTAATATAAAAAAGAGCAATCTAGTAGTATATGAACAATTGATAATATGGATGTTTTTATGTATTTTCTTCACTTTCGTTTTCAAGTTTTTTTATCTGAAACACCCACAATGTAATATATAAGATGTTCTCCAGAGAAAATGGGTTTCAGTCAATATATTATTCAATTTTCTTTGAACAGAGAAATATTTTTACTACCAGCAGTTTGTAGAAGTAAGCATTCTGTCATTGTCAATTACATTTGATCAACAATTTGAATTTTATATGGATAAAACAGATTAAAAGAAAAATTACAGCTGATGGTAGTCTACTATTCAATAAAAATAACTCCACGGATAAATTAATATTACCATCCCTTATATGATATACAAGGTAGTAAGGTCTTCAAATCCAAAGGTTTATGTTTCTATTTTAAAGTTACAAATGAAAAACAAAATTGATATTTTATTTTAAAGTTGGGGTTTTTTTCTGAGGATGATATTGTAATAAACTAGAAATTGCATTTTTTTCTCTGTGGAGTCCCCAGAGAAATATGGTTCATCTGGTCTTATTGCAGTTAGTGTGTGGTGATAATTCTTACCCAAAAGGTGATATCAGAAGTTGTTCCTTAGTTAGAGAATCTGAGGAAACAAAGTATTGTGAATGCTTTCAGTGCAGTCTTCTGCACTAAAGCAATTCTTACCTTATTTTATAATGAGAACAGATTTTTTTTTTTATTCTCCTAAATCTCTAATGTGTGCAAATAAAGTTCTTCTACATCACTATTGGTCAGATGAGGCAGGAGCTAATCAACTCAGATGAGGAATGATGATACATTTAGTCACATATTCCATTCAATCTGTGGATTTAGCTTTGAGATAATAAACTGCAGTCAAAGTGGTTCTATTTACTGGAATTATTTATTTCAGAATGCATACTAAGAAAATGTTTTGCCTTTAATTTACCTTTTGAGTCATTAAATTATTAATAAATAATTGGTAAACTAAATTTCAAATATTATTTTATATAATTTTCCTCTTTGGCAAATTTACTCTTGTTACCCTTGCTATACAAACATGGTAAAATAGTATATAGGGTTTGTTACTGTCCTAATCTCTACAATAAAGGAAATTCTGTATATCAATAAAATGTAAACCCCTAAGCCTCCCTAAAGTTGGAATTCTTGTGAGAAGGCTTTCAGACTTCTTTTTTAATGAACTAAATGTTTCTGGAAGCTCTTTACTTCATATCAAATAGCTTCTAGTTATGATCTGCACCACTGACAAATGAAATGTAATACTTGGCTGCAAATGAGCAGAAAAGACATTAGTTGTATACTGGGAGTTATTTTGATGGCAGTTCTCAAGAAAACAACAACAGAAGTAATTACAGCAGATTGATCTGAAGCAAAATATATTCCATGCATCAGTTTGTGTTAATATTCAAAATTTAAATCATTTTAGATCTTTGGGTGGATGTTGTCTCTAAATATATTTTGGGGGAAGGAAGAGATTTCAATTACAGAATAATATGAGTACAGTTAAAAAGGGCTTCTTTAAATTTGGCATTATGATTCTCAATGAGGAATCCCTAAGAACTAATGACTAAACCTGCAGTAAATGATCCAAACCTTGAATACCTTCTGCTCTGGAGCTGAACTCTCTGCAAATGAGTTTCTAGGCACACCCTCTCAGAGTACCATCCTGGTGCCTCCCCTGAAACTAAGAGATTTTTCATTCTAAATATTCAGACCTAATTGATCCTTCAGTATTGATATTTTCAGACATCCTCTGAAAAAATTATGCTTGCAGTGTTATGGTGATTTGTTAGATCCCAAAAATTATTGATCACATTTTAAATTCTGTAAAGCCAGAGGTACAAAATATTTGCAGGTGCATTCTCTTTTCTTCTAGACACAGAAGGCTTAACAGTAATATCCAAAGAGGTTGCCAGAATGCACAGTCCTTCATCTTTCTTTTTTCTCTGTAGTGTTGCCTTGTCTTTCACTCACATCAATAGTTTGTTGGAGACAGAGATCTCTTTAATAAATTTGACATTTCCTCTGTCAGGTTTCTGTGCTGTAGCTCTTGGTCACAGGGACACTTACCATGCAATTCCCAATTTCAGTCGCATAAAGTCTCCCAGACCAGGAAAATCTGCTCTTGAAGCTGAGCCTGCTACTGGTGATGAGACGCCTCCCCTTCAAAGGAGGATTAGGAGATTAATGACTCTCCATTGCTAATTCTCTGCTGGTTGTTTCAGATTCTCTCTTAGCATCTTTCTGGGTATTCAATCCAATATGCAGGCTAAATGACCAAAAGGAAATGTCATTGCAGAGGGATTTTAGAATTCAGGCATATGTTAATCCATCGTTTTCATAAAGAAGAACATAACAAAACCCTGGCAGCAAGAAGAATAGCTGTAGAAAAATAGGGACATATTGTGATGTCCTAATATTAACCTCTGCTAGTGAACCTATAGACCCAGATTCACTTTTGCAGCTTTTTCCTGAGCATTCACAGTGCTGATGCTTGTAACACAGTTTAAATAATAGTGGAAAACCTGTGGTAGTTTAGAAAATGGTATGTGCACGACAACATAGATTCAATTTACAGTTTTGAGATTATTAATCAAGGATGCTTATGTGTGACCTTCCATTTATGTTTGCTTTGGCTTTTAGCTCCAGACCAGTCTGTCTGAACCAATGACTTTATCCAAGTCGATCTCACTTCCTCGTAGTGCATATTGGCATCACATCACCCGGCAGAACAGCGTTGGAGAAATCTACAGTTTACAAGGCAAGTTGCTTATAATGCCATCTCCATTAGCTTCTTTCCATTTCACCAGAATTCATGCAAATTGCTTTTTATTTGCACTGGTTATTTTCTCTCCATTTCATTTTATCAATTGTCAGGAACCTCAGCAGGATCCCCAAATTTACATAAAATAGGTTTCTTTTAGTCATTTTGTAAACAAATGGTGAAAATTATTTCTAGAATCACCACATAAAGTTGGATAGACAATTTGGCTCAATGTGGCTTCTCAGTAGCTAATGAATGTCAGGTTGTTTTAGTATTTTCTACCAATGAGATGGGGCAAGTATTTGGGCAACCTCAGGGTGCCAAATTAAATCTACATAAAGTGGCTATATGAGTTGCAAGATTAAAACAGAGTAATTCTAGGAAGAAGAGCTATTCTTGGTGAATTTGCTTGGCAAATCATATATGTGAACTGTTGACTCAACTTACTTACAGACCTTCAACAAATCATCTTCTGTCTATGGTTTTCTTTCATATGTTTAGATTTGCTAAAGCTTTCAAATGCTATAATTAGCATAACTTGATGATGATGATTCACTGCTCTTAAGCTGAAATTGATTTTTATCTTATAGGAAAATGAAATTATTGCTACATTTAAAATGTAGACCTTTTAAAAATAGCCTTTTGTAAACGTATTGCTTTGTATTATTTCTAAAGGCCTTAAGTTTTAGTTCTCTCTTAATAATCTGTTTGCATAAATAATTTACATTTAGATAGGAGGTTAGAAACTGCTTACTAACAAGAGTCCCCAAAGCAAGGAGACAGTACATATTTTCAATAAAATAAGTGAAATTCAGTGTATAGATGAAGAACATTAAATGCTTTGTTTTGTGAATTATCACATAAATTAAAATCAGCAGGTGAACTGTGCATTCAGTGGATGAGTCATTAAAGGGTACAAGCATTTGTTTCCCATCGTTCTCCGTAGAGCAAAGTTTATTTTTAATCATGTTTGTAGTCTTACATTTCAATACCAGTAATGGAAAAAAAGAAAATATTATTTCAGAAGCTGTTTGTGAAAAAAGTTGTACTTGTACCTCATCCTACATATATTCATCATGTTACTGATATTCTTAATGGACGCAATGAGAATGCAAAAAAGAAGTTTATTTGTAGAAATGTTAGTTTTCTTCTTCTTGTGTTTTGATGTGTCTTTTCTTCATTAGAAAGACAGTAAATGTGTTATATTCACTCTCAAATTTTTTTCTTCCTTATAAATGGCCTTTAAAGTAAAGGAAAGCAAAACTTTAAAATAACAATAATATATCTATACCACCAAGCTGTGCAGGATTCGACATACTGGAAGTGTATGATTAAAAATGTAAGAATTTTTCTTTCTGGAAGTATGCAGATTTTATTCACATTTCCACTGAAATGTGGGGCTAATAAATATTTCAGAACTTAAGATTTTCATTTTTCCTACATGTACTATGATGACTGAAGCCTGAGAAAATGTGGTTAATTTCAGAAGAGACTGATATTCAGTCATGCCAGTGGGCAAGGAAGTGCATCCAGAAGACTCTGGTTGCAAAACTTTTCCACGCAAGACTACCATTCACTATCTGTAATGAAAATCTCTTTGAACCTTCTGCTGCAATTACTAATTAAAATCAGTGAATTTGCCGCAATTACTAATTAAAAACAATGAATTTGTGTAGAAAGTGAAGCGGGTGCAAAGCGCACCTTTTCCTCCTCGCACCTTGTCATTCCGACAGCCTTTGCACTGCAGGGCTGTCAAAGCATCAGCCCACAGGAGCTCTGCAGATGTGGGTGGAAGGTGGGCAGCAAGGAAGCAGATTGCAAGCATCACTTCAGCCCTCACCTTCGCAGAGCAGCCAGCTGAGAGGAGCTGGTGCAGAGGGAAGCATCACCTGCTGCTGCCAGAATCTCCTCCGAGCTTCCAAAAGTGCCTCGCGCCTTCGGAGCGGAGATGTTCTCTTCAGAGAATGGGACACTGGTCTCAGCTCTGCACTTCATGGGCATCTACAACAAAGCTTTGAACACTCAGGAAACAAGTCTGAAAATTCCCCACATACTTCTGAACATCTCACAAACTCTGAAGTGAAATAAACAGAGTGATGTCTACCTGAATCCAGGTGACTGTCAGTGTCAGTCAGAGTAGCCAGGTTCACTGCTATGTGCAAGGGCTTCCACAGTGCCAATTACTTCAAACTTGCAGGCTGAGGTGACTGGAATTTAATTAATAGCAGCTGGTGATGTATAAGGAGAAATGAATATGTGCTCATACTACCTTAGATAAATTGTCTCTTTGGGAGTTATTTAGCAGTCAAATTTAACTTAATTAGTAGTGTGTGTTGATCTGATAATGAATATGCTATGGAGTAAGAAGGTAGTGGGTTTTGTGATTTTTGGTTTTTAAAAACTACATTTCAGATGAAAAAGGGGCCTTCAATAAATGAGTGTTGGGTCTATTATGCTCCATTAGCCCATGAAAATACTTACATGTAAAGAACTGTAGAAATTAAAACATAGTATAATAGAGCTAAAGTAACACAGGTTGCACAAAATATCATCAAATGAGATGGGATAGTTTCTATTGATAATCCAAGTTTGCCTTTAATTACAGTTTAGAAATTAAATAGTGTCCTTTAATATTTATTATCAAAGAGAAATTTAAATAGCAGAGGAAAAAGACCTCTACACCATTTTTGTGCATACATGAGTATGGCATGTATGAATTGTATGTTTTCATAAATAATTGACAGCTCTAAAAAAATTTTGAGCCCAACAGAAGATAAACATTCATTGATATGTTATGCTGATACACATCAAAAAATTGATAAAAATGCGAAGCCAAGAGTAACCTTATTAACTGAAACCTTGATTAAAAAGGAAAAAATATAACAGCCATATAGGCGTGTAAAAAATTACCTTGTATGTTTACTTGTAATTTAGTGTTTCTTGTTTATACCTACCAAAAAATTTAAAACTGTTACACAGGATATTTAAAATTGACAAACAAAACACATGAGTTCTTATACAACAAAAGATATTAAGGAGAATTAATCTTTTTTTAGTTTGATTTTTTTGGTGGTTGGTTGGGTGGGTGGGTGGGGTTTTTATTTATTTTCCATTTAGAGCTTTTAATTTGTTTAAAATGAAAAAAAAAAAGATTGCAGACTGAATTTTCAGATATCTGAAGAACTCTAGTCCTTGCCGTTTAGAGTTTGGATGATACAAATGTTAAACACAGTCAGTTTGTGTATTATTATATAAATAAGGCCAAATAGAATTTTGGTATTGAAACATTAATTAGCTTTTTGTATTGCAGTTATTGAAATCCCTGAGGAAATTATGTTCAGAAAATCTAATTACAGCCTGGCCTTTTTCCAAGAAATTCAAAATTAAGAAATGCTTTCAGTCACTCCTGTTGTGTTTGATCTGGTTTGTCCTCATTTTTTGGACTTGGATTTTGCTATCCATACTTTAAATAATGAACACCTACCCACAAAGGCAGTGCTAGTCATTCCATGAGAGTGCTTATGTGAAAGAGCACATATTTGTATAAGAATTACACCAGTAACATCTTACCTGTTTCTTCCAAAAAGAGAACACAAAAGGGTTGGGGTTTTTTCCCCCCATTTTTTTCCACATTTTTTTTCACAGTATTGCTTATCACAATTTGTTTATAATGAATTTTATTTGCTCTGTCAAAAATTATTGCCACAGTTTGTTGTAAACCCATAGCAAAGTAATTAAATTACATGGAAAAATATTAAGAAGCTCACTAAGAGTCAGATTTATAAACGTAGTGAGGAATTTTGAGAAATAAAACTATCATCTTTGAACAGATAGGACTTCAGTTTGTAAGCACATGCCAAACTCATTAGCAGACAGAAATAATAAATGACCCTGATGAAGTTTGAAGGAATTTTGCTGTTAATATACAATTACCTTTTGTATGTAACAATAAAGATGCCAGAAACATAAGGCTGGTTTTGGTTTTGCAAACCAAAATGGAAGGAAGCTGTGGTCCCTCTGTGGCCTTGGTAAGCAAGCCTGCAATGCACATTGTCTTTTGGCTTTTTAGGTGAGAACTCACCCTTTTTTCTTTTTTCTTTTTTCTTTTTTCTTTTTTCTTTTTTCTTTTTTCTTTTTTCTTTTTTCTTTTTTCTTTTTTCTTTTTTCTTTTTTTTTTAATATGTTTTAAGCAGGATAACATGTAGTCTTAGTCTGGTCAGTTAAAAGATGCTGTGCATAAAAGGGAGACAAAGTCACATACAAAAAACCCATCTACACAGTTTTCCTTTTTGAAGTAGAAACTCTGATATGTGACTAAAAATAATCAGAGAATATTCAAGTTGCTAAATATTTAGAGGGGTTTGAATCATCCTGTTCAACCTTCCTTAAGCTAATCCTGTAGGAAATTCTGATGTAGGCTTCTGCAGCTTTCTGCAAATTAAAGTATGTAAAATGAATGGGAGAGCATTCGTCATTTTGGCATTTCCATTGTTTGTTCATATGTCCAGCAATAGAGTACAGAATCCATTTCCCCATCTAATCTTGGTGCCTGAGCAATGTGAATAACACAGAATGTTAGAATATATCTGTTATATAAACCTGATCGCTCAGTGATTTTTCAGTAAGTGTCTACCAGCGGCTAAAGCTGAAATGCTTTATAGCCTTCCACATTCCCATTTCCTTCGCTAAATCGCATCAGGACCTTCACATTAGTAAATGAAGCCTATAAAGTTTGAGATATGAATAAAGGACACCTGGAACAAGATACTTACTGAGTAGAAACTGCATAAGAGCTACATTATTTAAAATGACTGTATTACTTGTCTTCTCAAGTCTTATGCAGTAGATGTGATCCTTTCCTTTTGAGCTTTGAATTTCTGTGCTGAGTAGTGCATCACTAGGCTGATTTTAAAATGGCTTATTGGAAGTGGGATATGTCTTACTCAGAAACCAGAAAAGAACTTCATTTTGCTCAACAGTGATTGCTGCCTCTAACC